AGATTTAAGACCCGTACCCATGTGAAATAAGAAGCAAAGTGTGTCTATAAAAAGGAGAGAACAAAACCCATAAAGGCTCACTTCTGGTTCTGTATCTATAAATCGGAAGACTCCAAATTCCAAACTTGACAAATTCACCACCCACATACTCGTCTTCTGTGGTGAACAAAGCCTACCTTTTCAAATTTCCGAAAAATTCCAACTTTTTGTTCTTGGGTTACGGGATATTTTTTCCTCAATGTCGATTCGTTTCAGCTCAACAGTCGTTGCTGCTTCAGTCAATTTCAAAAACTCGAAGAATTTGTACAGTAATCGATCTCGGAACTGCAGATTCTCCGTCCGGAGTTGCGTGTCTGATTCTCACAATGCACATAAGGTACTTTTTGAGAGAGAGAGAGAGAATCATGGAAATTGGATGAATAGTTACGAAGACGTCACTTGTTTTTAATTTGTTACGCAATAGCTTTCTTGTTATTATTCCTGTGTCTGCTTTTGTGCGTTGTCTGATTATATCCGAAGCAAGAAGTCCTCTGTTTATTGGAAGCTCTGTTTGGGACAAAACAAAAAGCTCAAGTCTTTTGCTTATTGGTCTTAGGAATCAGTGTTCTTGAGTTCCAATATCCATTGAGAATTTAAAATTTGGAAAACTCGGCAACTACTCTTTGCTATCTTCTTTAACGTTTCTTGCTCATTGTTAGCTGCATTTAAAGATTGATTTCGTTTTGAGGTTCTTGGAAATGGTGGTTTTTTTTTTAAGAATTCGTTAAGGAATTGCTTGGACTATGGAATGTTACATAATCTGTATAAGGGGATTATTATGTAATGGAGAATTTGGTTGTTCAACTTGTGATGCAGCTAGTTTTGGAAGTTAAAGAACGGCTTGCGAAAGATTGTACTAGTCTCCCAATTGGCAAAAACGGAAGAGATGATGAGGAAATGATCCTCTGGTTCTTGAAAGACCGCAGATTCTCAGTTGATGAAGCGATTGGAAAACTAACTAAAGCTATCGTATCCTCTTCCTTGTATAATCTTGTCTCCTATAATCTTGAAAAGTTGCCATAGAAATCACTCAGAATCTGTAGAATCGAAGAATCACGGTTTGATTGTGTTTTGGTAATATTTGATAATGTCGATTTCTACGTGATCCTTAGCTAAAAGCTTTAGAAATGGCGTCATGAGTTCAAGGTAGATGAACTATCTGAAGATTCTATCAAAACCGTTGCTGACACGGGAAAAGCCTATGTTCATGATTTTCTAGATGTAAAAGGTCGACCAGTAGTTATTGTAGCTCCTGCAAAGCACATCCCCGGGGCAAGTTAGACACTATTAAACAAAATTTTTTAATTAAGTTTCCGCATTGCTGCTTGACAATAGCTGAGGATTTGTGAAATATCTGGCCTTTTGCAGCTGCTTGATCCAAAAGAAGATGAAAAGCTTTGTGTCTTCTTACTTGAAAAGGCTTTAAGTAAGTTGCCAGCAGGACAACACAAGATACTTGGGATATTTGATCTCCGTGGATTCGGATCTCAGAATGCAGATCTCAAATTCTTGACTTTCCTGGTATTTTTATCTTCTTACAGGTGAATTTGGTATCTAGACAATTCTTTGCTCTTATTGTTGTCTTGTCCATCGTTTTTATTTTGCAGTTTGACGTATTTTACTATTACTATCCAAGCCGATTGGATGAAGTCCTTTTCGTAGATGCTCCATTCATTTTCCAGCCAATTTGGCAATTCACCAAACCGGTGGTCAAGTCATATGCCTCTCTGGTAACTTCCATACCAAATTACTAAGTTTTGATGCATCATTGCTAAGTAGTGCCCTCAAAATCAGTGTTGTTGCTGGATTACTAGCTGTTGTTTATCACATAGGGTGGTTATCCGTGGTTAAGCTTGAGTCCTGACCATATCTTTGATTTACGGGTTTGCCCGTACAATATGTTATACTAGAGCGGTTTATATAACCTGCACAAGTCAGGGCATGAGATGATTCAAAACTTGTAATTGGTTGTTGGTTCATTGTGTAGGTCAAGTTTTGTTCAGTAGAGACTGTGAGGAAGGAATACTTCACTGAGGAAACATTACCATCAAATTTCAGAAGCTAAAGAGGCTATAGGAGATCTTCACAGCATTAGCGTCTTCTGTTGTTTGTCAATATAAATGTGTATAGGTGTATTTTTTTTACTATCGATTACAGGGAAACTTTAATAGTAAAAGAACTCATTGTAAACCTCAAAAAAGGTAAGCAGTATACATAGAGACAACAACATAAATATGAAAAGCCTTTCTAAAATTATCAAAAAAGGTAAAACCAAACACAACAAGAGAAAGGAAAAAAATACAGATCATAGGGAAGCACTGAGAAGTCAGAATTTGAGGGTTCCATGTTGGAGAGAGGTTCAAATCAGATTAGCCCTCTTCAGGAATCTGATAGTTCTGCAGTAATAAGGCCATATAGATTCGACAAAATCCAGGTATCTCTCAATGATCCATCCTTGGAGCTGTTTCAGTTTGGTGCGCGTGAGCTCTTTGTAGTCAGTGTTCTTGATGGCCACCACTGGTCGAGTCACTAGAGCTCTCACGTCATCTCTGAGCTTGCCATGGGAAATGTAATGGTATGCTACAAGGTAATAAGATGGTAGATTTCTTATCATTTTGAAGGTTTGGTTGAAGCAGAAGGCGTAAAGGGCGCATAGTCCTTGGAACAATTTGATATAAAGGGCAACAATTAAGGGACCAGCCATCCACAAAGGGGATAACTCCTTTGTAACTTCAGCTCCATAGATCACGTTAACAGCTAGAAAAGCTGGAACACTGCAAAATAATCAATACACATATAAGAAACTTGGAAAAGAAAGTGGCTGTGACACTCTTGAATCTTCTTTAGGATAGTTTTTGATTAGTTGGTTTTTCCACTATTTAAAATTGGTGTGCATTTAAGGATAATTAACTCTAGATTGCCTCATTAAACAAAGGAAAGCGATGCTTTGATGCTCATACTTACAATAACAGCAACGGAATCTTGATAGCTGCGTCTAGACTCCAAAACCAGGACCAAACTGTATTTTTTGTACTCTGTAGGCTTTCTGTTTTCCGGATCTCTGTTTCAGTTTCTGGCTTCGTCGTTTGTGGAACCTGTTCTCCTCCCAAAGCCTCGTCAATCACTTGAATAGGTGATTGTGTGCGCAACAGTGTTAACCATTTCTTGAATAGCTTCTGAATAGCGGGTTGCCCTGTGATTGAATCATCTGTTTCTGATGTATATGAAATCGATGTGTTTTGTGCCTTTGGAGAGCCGTTCACGTTATTTTCGTCATCATCTGAACGGTAAGAAAGTTTGACCGAGTTATTAGTAACTTTCTTCCCACCCTCACTTCCTCCTGATTCACTATTTTGGATGCCACCTTTGAAAGATGTAACTCTGAAAGATTTTGCTTTCAATCCACCACTGCAAGGGGACCCTAAACTGCAAAACGGTTCCACAGAATTTCATGATTCGGACAATTGACTACAAAGAAAAATATAAATGAACTATTTAAGTAGCTATATTGTCTTGACAAC